CACAGGGTTCAAACGAGCGGGGATTTAAAAATGGCGGAGCCCCGCTTATGCAAATGAAGCCCGGGAAATTAAAATCCCGGGCTTCATTTGCAAGGGCGGTATGCCTACATTACCCTCCTAGTTCGAACTAGCGGGGTAGTGTAGACATACCCAAAGTTCCTGGAGCTGGAGCCCTTTAAACAGCAGAAATTGAAAGGGCTCCTGGCCCACAGCTGCCCTGCCGCTCCCCTGCTCCCTGGCCAATTAAGACCTGGGGACGGGGAAGCACGCAAAGTCTCCTGCCCCTGCCAGGGGCATAAGGCACCAATAGGAAACACCAAGTGTTCAAAACAGCTAGCAGTTCCCTCTAAGACTTCATGTGCTCCCCCATCCCTAGGGGGGGTGGGGGGGGTCTCCTGGCCCTGCCCCTTCCAGGGTAGCCTGCAACCACTGCAGAAGTTCCCAAAGTGGCCCCCCTTCAGAAATTATTGCCCGCCTCTGTTCTAGTTGAAAGTCATTATAGAAATTTGTTTGGTGAGAAGAATGTAAACTTGCTTTATATATATTCATTACACTTCACACAAATAAAGAAGATGCCATATATCTCAATAAGCTATTCTGACCCAGAGTATACACATGGAAATACAGTTTCCAGTCAAGTGCTAAATCCAGAAACTGATAGGCATTATCTAAAAGTCCAAAGAAGAAAAGATGGAGATGATTATTAATGCAGCCCCCTCCACTGAAAATAATTCAGCCTCCCTTAACATGGAGCAGAAAGAAAACAACAAGCTAGTTAACAAACTACAAGCTAGCACCTCCCTCATCCATTTTCCAGCAAAGCTGATCTAGAAAGGGAAAGATTCCCAGATTTTCCCCACTTTGTTTCATATGCTGCTATATGAACAATTAAGTCCAGGCACTCTGGGAATTAAGCATCAGAAATCATGGTCTACTTCCTGGAGTAATTATTGTGGAGCAAATATAGATACCAAGTAGCTCCAGTGGTGCAGGAGGTAAACAAGGATTGCATCAGAGGTCCTGATCTCTTCAGTGCTGGGATGTGGAATTTCAAGCCTTAGCTGTTTTATTAAACAACTTGCTGTGCACCTGATGAGGCAAAGGACATTCCTAAAACATGCAAAGGAAGCCACACAGGAAGATGTTCAAAATGAATTGCTCCCTACGTCCCATCCATACTGCAGCTGCCACCCAATTCTTTCTGGTCAAAACAATGTGTTCTCAGCTTTCCTTCAAAGAAACAGAGGGAATGAGTATCAGCTATGTAACTTGAAGATGCTGGTTTAATAAAACCATTGCCACTACATCAGCCATCCTTTTTAATTGTCTTTAAAATACCCCATCATGCAATTGCAGGTGATGTCAAGAACAATTCCTAGGGAGATCAAAATGTCCACACAGATGTGTAACAAAGATATGAAGATTCATTCATTACACTGTTGTCATCTGTTAAGCTATTATCAGCACCCCGAGTATTCTGGTTAACTGCTTTCATGCAAGAATTGAGGTTTCTCTAGAACAGACTAGAGAACTCTAAAAAACTCTTTTGGCTTATCGCCCAGATGTGCAAGAGAATAGGATTCCAAATCACCACAAGGGAACTGCTTTGCTAATGTTCTCTTGGAAACTGTTATTCAAGGTTGTTCAGTTTCTTGTGCTGATGGATTCTCTCCAAAGAAAAGAGCTTCAGTAGTAACCAAGTCTCCCCCTAGAGTTGCCTAGAGCAGCTGTGATGGTTCTGTGATCATATCTTGAGTGCTCTGAGTTTTCTCTGTGGTCTTCACTGCCAGGTGAAGAAGCATGTGCGTAGCTTCCATTCTGAAAAGATTTACCAGTGTACGGAATGTGACAAGGCTTTCTGCCGTCCTGATAAGCTGCGGCTCCACATGCTGAGACACTCAGACCGCAAGGACTTCCTGTGCTCCACCTGTGGCAAGCAGTTCAAGGTAACGTATCTAATGAGCTGTGGTGTTCCGAGAGCAATACCAGATCAGCGTTTTCTCCCTTCTTTGTCAGCAAGATTGTCCTCCCAGAAACAGAAGTAGCCAGCACCTGTAGACTTAGTAGGCTTGCATGCTAATTGCATGCACTGATCCATGCAAAGTGCCCCCAATGACTTGGTTTAGGAAATCTTTTTTACTGATAGCAATGAACAAATATCTCCAGCAAACCAGGAGAAATAAGTGAGAGGCTATGGATATCTCATCCTAAAATTACAACTCTAAGTACAGAATAGATGTAATTAAACTGCTGTAAAGCTTTTTAAAGGGACAGTTTGAAAGTGAGAGCAAAAGTCTAATAAACACTTGTCAGATTTCAGGTAATATCCAAACTACAATAATGTTGTGAGTTTGGTTCCCACTGCATGAAAATATTAAGATGACTCAGCTTCTGAAAAGATAAGAAGAGTAGCAAAACGTGTTCATAGCATCAAATTAGAAGGACAAATAAAACAATGGCATTCGTGCTGCCTAGGAAAAAGGTTATTTTAGAGGAAAAATGACAGAAACACTCTGTTTATGGGTGGCTGTATTGTATAATGGGCTGTGCCCAGGAATTGGGAGGGACTCCAGGTTTCCATTGCAAGCTGTAATCTTGGCTTACTGTGTGGCTTTTGGCAGGTTATTTTAATATTTTGGGGCCTCAATTTCCCCATCTGTAAAATAGGTGTAATAATATAGAATCTATGATACTTCAAGATAACTTAATGTGTGTGAAGCATTTTTAGATGACAGGGGGTGTAAACATGCAATGTATTAGTACATTGCTATTATTATAAAGATTTTTACAGTATGGATAACATCAGCCCTAGTAGCTATTGTTACCATAATGCAAAGTGCAGGTCAAAGGTACTTAAATGGAAAGTGTTGGGTGGAACAAACGTACAGCAACACTGAAGTCAGGGAGATAACTAAAAATGGATATATGTGCATCTTTGCATTGCACAAAGCTGCCATCTGTTTTTTCTCCTTATTTTGCATGTGTTTATAAGAAGCACCCTGAGATCTCTACCCACATAAAGCCAGTGGAGATGCAAAGTCTCTGCCTTAGAGGGACTATTACTAGAGTGGGGAAGGCTGGCTCTTTACAGCTGAGTCAGCAATTGGGCTCTGCCATCAAGGGTTACATTTTGAGCCAACTTGTAGTCATGGGAACCCAATGCCACTGGAGTTAGACTGAGACCCACCAGCTCATCTCACAAAGACCACTGAATTAACCAGTAACAGCTTTCAGTGCCTGCCAGTCATAATCCTAGAAATGAAAGATTCTGTAGCTTCTTACTGATCCAGTTCTCCAGTCAGCTTCTGTAATAATGAAGTGCAGCCTGCAGAAGCAGAAGAACATGCCGTGCTCCATCCAGTCTTGGCAGTCTGCTCCACACTAGAGATTACAGGTCTAAGACAGACCTCTCTCAGGTGTGCGTTTTGGCCATTCTTTTAACAAACAAATGCTGTAATGTTGATTTTTCTTCCTCTCTGACTCTTGCCTTAAACAGAGGAAAGACAAGCTCCGGGAGCACATGCAAAGGATGCATAATCCAGAAAGAGAGGCTAAGAAAGCTGATCGAATCAGCCGCTCCAAAACCTTCAAGCCTCGGATAGCTTCCACTGACTACGAGAGTTTCATGTTCAAGTGCCGACTGTGCATGATGGGCTTCCGGAGGAGAGGCATGCTGGTTAGTGTCCTGATGCCCTAGATTTTCTTGAGATTTCTGCTGATGAACTTTTGTTGATTGTTATGACTTAATATAATTCTTGTATTGAGCTTTAGTGAATATAAAGAAATGCCTGCGTATTTCAGGTAATTAGACCAGAGATATTCTGAGAAGGAACTGCAATTCTTACAATAGGTCCTCTTTTTTGCCTGTGCCCATGGAATATAAGCATTGTGATTTACAATACACAGTGCTGTCTGGGCACCAAGTCTGAGATGAGTAACACAATTGCATAGTCTAGACGGGACAGGAAGGATCCACCACTCAGTTTCCAGATGTTCCTTAATTATTTACCAGAAACTTGGTTTTGTTCTTCTGTCCGTGCTCTTATTTCTCTCTCTTTTCTCCTTTTTTTCCTTTCTATGAGAGACCTCACCAGCCTTTGCCACGGAGGGAAAGCTTGTGCAAACACATCTGTATTGCACACCACAGGGGCTCAAGTTGGTTGTGAAGTCTATTCATAAAGAGTTACATAGCTGGGGGCAGGAGGCAGGATTTCTGGTGATAACACCTTGCTCCCAGCAGGTCTTTCAGCCAAGGAAATTGGAAATGGGATGCAGAGTGACCAAGTTAACCTTCAGCAACTGACCACAAATGTACGTTAACCTCCAGTGCCATCAGATGGACCTGGTGTTGCGAGGTAGCAACATTGCATTTTTGCTCAGGGGCACTGTACTGGGGAATCCATACCCTCATAATCAAGAGAAGGTTCCATCATTTAGCTTCAAGCTGTAACAGTCTCTTATTCTGATTTGCTTCTTTCTCTTAGGTGAATCATTTATCAAAGAGACATCCGGACATGAAAATCGAGGAAGTGCCAGAACTAACACTGCCCATCATCAAACCCAACAGAGATTACTTCTGTCAGTACTGTGATAAGGTATGTAAGAAAGTCATCAATCAAAGCACAGCCCTGTACCTTCCTGTAACCAATTTCTGTTTATAAACATGTGGCAGGATTTGTAATTTTCTTGAGACAATACCTATCTGAGATGGCTAACTGCATTCGTACTAGCTCTGTCCATGCAGAAATTAAGAAGCTAAGGCAACTAGATGCAAACTGAACATTTTAATTCTGCTTTTCTCCTCTTTGGTTTGGATCCTGTTCTGAGGACTCAGTGTCTTATCTCTGCATCGAAGATTGCCAGTCTAATTAGAGGATTGCACATTTTGTAGCTTCCCTAGGCTCACCTTGTTTCACACATCACAAGCTCTTGCACTGTTGGAGCCCACGTGACTAAAGGTCTGGTTTTCAGATGTACTGAGCATCCACTCCTCCTTTTGACTTCTGCTGGAGATGTGGGTGCTCAGCACTTGTAAAAGGCAGGCTCTGAGGCCTAGATCCTCAAAGGGAATTATGCACCCATTCGCCTTGAAGGATCTGGACCGAAGCCATTTTATTGGGCTTGTTTTCGTGTGCAGTGGATCGATGCAGCAGCAGTTTGCTCCACTGGAAGTTGATTTATCATGTCTACTTAGACGCAATAAATCCATCTCTGAGTGCTCTTCCATCGACTGCAGTACTCCACCAAGATGAGAAGAGTAGTCAGTCAATAGGTAAGTATGTCAGCTTCAGCTACTCTAGTTGCATAGCTGAAGTTGTGTAGGTTAGATGGTTGGGGAGAGCGGGGGAAGGAGGTTAGTGCAGACAAGACCATAATGACCTGTCCATTTCTTAGCCACATCCCAGTGATTTCCATTGTTCTGTATAGCCTACAACCTCTTTTCCTTTGCCTTTGGTAGATGCTGCTTTTTCTGAGAATCATATACTGATTGACCTCTGTTTCTGATATGCAGGGGCAGATGACCGTTTTGCGGGGCCCCGGGCAGCATAATTCCGCGGGGCCCCCCCTTTGCTACGGCGCATGCGCGGGGCTTTCGGAAGCGCGGGGCCCGGGGCGGCCGCCCCGTTCGCCCTGCCCTATATCCGCCCCTGCTGATATGGACATTTATTTACTTTGGAAAGGCTGCACCACCTTTTCATGCCTGCATGATGTGTTTCACTGATGCCTCCTACCTGTGGTTTAGCAGAACATCCCACTCCTTGCTGAATGCTTCTTGAATTTTGCTTAGCTTGCTTCCTTTTTGTTTTATTATACAAGATTACTTTGTTTTATTTCTCTAAGTGTAGCTCCTATGATGTGTCTAAAGAAAGTAGACTTAAAACAGACGTGTTGATCCCTCGTAGTTATCCAGTGATGCTTGAGCAGTAGGGATGTTAATGCTTCTAGCCTAGGCAAATTCCAGCTTGGGAGATTACATTCTGTCTCTGATGGCATTTCCCCTCAGAGTGTCAATTTAATAAGGCTTTCCTCCTCAATTCCTGACCTAAGTAGCTGGGTTTCTGTGCAGTGTCAAAAAATTAGTACATTCCTGGAAATAGTTAACTCACTGGCTGGTAAAGTGATACGCATGGGGCAGGGAGAGAGAGAGAGCAAGCGAGAGAGCGAAACAAATATCCTATAAAACTGTTGTCCAAATACCTGTTAAAAGAGGCTCATGAACTTTGTGGATGGAGACACGCAAATACTGTCTGTTTTGGGCACTGCCATTGGTGTTACTCTGCTGTCATTCACATTTTTTACCTCACAGGTATACAAGAGTGCCAGCAAGCGCAAAGCCCATATCCTGAAGAACCATCCCGGTGCAGAGCTACCTCCGAGTATCCGGAAGCTGCGCCCAGCAGGACCTGGAGAGCCAGACCCCATGCTGAGTACTCACACCCAGCTCACAGGCACAATAGCTACTCCACCAGTCTGTTGTCCTCACTGCTCCAAGCAGTATAGTAGCAAGGTACTGTGCATGCCTCCTTGCCTAAGAGCAGAGTCCCTCCCCAGTGGTGGTGTTCCATGACAGAACTTGCAGTCTATCCATAGGGGGTCAGCCTTGTCATCATGAATCAGACTCCTGATTTGAAGCTAACTGAGCATTAACAATGTGATTAATCAGTTATTCGATGGAATTTCCGTTGACTACTCGATTAGTTGATAAGCCGGGGAGGTGCAGCGGGGAACCTGGCGTGAACAGGGACTGCTTCTGTCCCCATTTGTGCCGGGTCCCGACTGCTGCACCTCTGCCTTTTAAATGTAGTAAGTGGCTCTCCCCCACACTGTGGAGACAATGCTGGGGGACCCAGCTTTTAATCCAGCTCCCCCCAGCACCGGCTCCTGCTCCACTCCCTTACTGCCTCTGATATAAAGGCAGCAGTGTGGAGGGGAATGCAAGTAGTTGACTTGACTACCCGATAAGCCTAGGCTGTTCAACTATTCTTCTATATTGACTACTCTTTTCCATCCCTAATACAAAAGAAAAGTATTGACATGGGGTGTTATTCCAGAATAGCTTAGCACATTACATTCATACCATACCATATTCCAGAAAACATCCCCATCTGGACAAGCCCTTAGCCAAAGGAAATCATACTTGCGCTCCTCCTGGGTGCCTGAGTGGAAACAAATGGATTTTTTCCTTTTCCACGGTTGAGTCCTTATGAATTCCTGGTTTTCTGAGAGCAGGCCTCACATGGTACAAGCTCTCACAGTATTTCTTGCTTTTGAAACACTGGCAGCCAGATTATCCAGAGTAGCCTCTCATTTTGCATGATGCAGATTTCAGATGCTCACGTGGGACATGTTGGGTGTGACTTTCAGAGGTCACACTTCCATTCACAGCATTCACAGCTCCACTGGAAGACAGTGGTTGTTGCAGGTGCTCAGCATCTGTTAAAATCAGAGACAGGGGGTCCCAAGTTGGACAACCAGACTCTGAGGCATCCAAAATCAGGACTACTACTGAGAATTTTGCCCATAGGTTTTTCAAACCTGTGCCCTGAAGTTCATTTTGCTGGGTGTTTTTATGACCTGGGTTACTACCAGAGAGGAGGGAAGAAGTCAGACATAGTAGAGACTTTCTGCTTTCTTCTGAATGGGTACTCACAACATTTGACAGTGACAGGAAGGTTCGTCTATGGGGCCATGAAGTTTAAAAGGCAAAAGCTCAGCATGAGGCAGGTCTAATTAATATGAACACCCTGGTCTTTGTGTTAGCTCACTGGTGACCTGAGTGTCGCATGGTCTGAGGCTTGTTGCTTATCATTCAGGCTGAGCAAAGAGCTGAAAGGAACTGATCTTTTCATGATGGTCATATCTGTAACCCTATTCTCTGCACCCCTCCACAGACCAAGATGGTACAACACATTCGCAAGAAGCACCCTGAGTTTGCTCAGCTGCCCAACACGATACACACACCCTTGGCAGCAACCGTCATCAGTTCCACCCCTGCAGTTTTAACCACGGACAGTGCTACTGGAGAGACTGTTGTGGTAAGAATGCAAAGAATGGTAATCAGTCCGCCTAAGTGAAATAGTCAGGTATCCTGTATTATAATGATTATTAGCATTTGCTTGGCTCCCATCACTTTGGTATTACAAGGCTTATGTCGAGACATTCTCATAGGTCACTTCTATAGATGAATCTGTGCACTTTACTTTCATTCCCCTAGAGGTTCTGTTTTTCTCTGTTTTGAAGATCTGAAGATATGCCAACTAGCCTTATACCACCCTCTCCTGTCTCTGTCCAGCTGGTATTTTCTAAAGCACCTAAGTGGCTTAGGAACATAAGTTCCAATGAAAAGTGAATGGGCCTTGGGCTCCTAAATCATTTTAGCACTTTGGGAAAAAAATCTCATCGTCCATCTTGTTTGAGCTAGTCAGCCTTAATCATTTGGCTAGGCTGTTTTTGAGAGAGATAAGCTCCCCTTCACCACAACACTTCCAGCTGTCAAAGGTGCAAATGGCAGAGACCAGAAAATTGTTCTTATGTTTCCTTTTTGGTGCTGACTGGAAAAGGACCACTCTCCTGCAACATTTAAAAAAATGGGCATCCACACTTCACATTTTTTTTAAGACTGTTCAGGGAAACAATAAGTAACAATGACTATAATGTGCTTGAGAGAGAGAGCAAACTCATCCATTATTACTGTTATTATTTATATTATCATAGAGTTAGAGGCCATAGTCAGAGCCCAAGACTGTATTGTATTAGGCACTGTACAAACACAGTCCATGACTCTGATGCATCTGGCTTGATTCATCGGATTATCCAAGTGTTAATTGTTTCTTCATGTTTAGTAAATTAGTGGCAGAGAGCAGCACTGCTTTTGTCAGGTAGATAGGGTAACTGGAACATGTTTGGAGAAATGATTATTCAACCTGGAAACACAGATCAGAAGCCCTGGAATCCCAGTTCATCCACAAATTCAATTCACATGCCAATGGACTCAATCGTGATATGGGCTGGTGGGGACTCTACCTACTTAATAACCATTGAAGGTGCTAACAGCTCCCTCAGTGGTATCCTTCCTGTTTTAGGAATCTATCTATTGATTTCGATTTTTATCTGCTTAGATTTAAGTACCCATTCTCCAGATACTTACTGATGCTCTGTCTCTCACCCTCCTCTTTTTTTCTCCCCCTTTCCCTTCCCCTCTCCTATTTATTTCGAGTTTTCATATCCCCAACTCATAACTCTGGTCATCTGAAGAAGTGGGCTGTGCCCACTAAAGCTCATGATCCCATCTACATGTTTTGTTAGTCTGTAAAGTGCTATCAGACCATTTGTTGTTTTTTTCTGTAACTCGGTTACCCCCTGAAGCTCCAAAAAATGCTTCGCTAATTCTAACACTAAATCCTCAGCACAAACTTACTATAAACTCACCCTAAAAAAACTGATTCTGTTCCATCTGCCTTCCAAACCAGAGTCATCTCCCTTTCCCGTGGGGTCTCTGGTTCACCCTCCTCGGGTGTGTCCAGCCAGCCAAAGACAAAAGACTCCTACCTTCCTATTCTTTTTAAAGAATTCCCTTATTGTATAGGGAAGGGCTACTCAACTTTGGAAGCCCCAGGGGCCACAATGCCAAGGGCCGCACAGCACATGGCAAGGGCCACAACTTAAGTGTGGTTGCATAGACATGCAAATATATATATGCAAATAGCTTCTTTCACACAGTGCTCCTGGTACCTCCTCTCTGGGGGCTAGAAATGCTGACACCTTGTACCCAGTCGTTCCAGCCAGCTCATCTGCTTGCGTCTTTCAGTGCTCACCCCACCTGGGAGATGCCTCACCATAGTGGAGTGAGTTCCAATGGAGGCCATGTTCAAAGGATCCCACCCGTGGGCCACATGTTGAGCCCTGCATAAACCCAAACAACACTTGAGCCACAAACAAACAGGACACGGGCCACATGTGGCCTATGGCCAGTGTTGAGTAGCCATGGTCGAGGGAGTCCCCTAGCCTCTCCCTGTTAACTACTGCTAAGACTTAAGGACAAAAGGCCATTTGCATATGATTGCCCAGACATTGAGGTGAGAACAGGTGAGTGCTAACAGGGAGTTTAGAGAGGGAGTTCTCCAGGTAAAGGAGAAGCAGATACAAGACTCTTGAGGGAAATGTGTGTTGTGTTTGGGGCTTTCTTGCTGTGTGCTGAGCTTGTGTTTGTTGGTGTGTAGTGGTGTGTGTTCTTTCTTTCTTTCTTTCTTTCTTTCTTTCTTTCTTTCTTTCTTTCTTTCTTTCTTTCTTTCTTTCTTTCTTTCTTTCTTTCTTTCTTTCTTTCTTTCTTTCTTTCTTTCTTTCTTTCTTTCTTTCTTTCTTTCTTTCTTTCTTTCTTTCTTTCTTTCTTTCTTTCTTTCTTTCTTTCTTTCTTTCTTTCTTT